TAAACAAATTGAAAAGGACTCTAATTTTGATATGATCGTTTGGCTAAAAGTGATGAAGTCGTTTATTAAATGCCCTCTTTTGTTCTAAATAAGCATGCACCAATCAATTCAATCATATTCAGTGTCCTCCAATTGGTATTTGGAATAAATTATGTAATTTATATACCGTAAACCTATTTGGGTATTTGGTCTTTTATTTTTTGTTGATATTGGCAGTGAGAATATGGTGATTTTCGTATATGCGAAGCATTTTCGCAGCAGTACCCCCGAAATACAAACAAAATGTAAAAAAAACAATTTGTCTTACGGTACCACAGACATTCTCTCTCTTTTTGGTTTTATGGTATGCGTAAATCTATCACATAGAGATACTTGTGACATCGACGAAGTTTCCTAGGTGATTTACAAACGGAACATTGTTTATGGCGGCTGCAATTTTTAGCCCATTCTACAATTCATTTGGCCAACATATTAACCGGAGTGAAAATGAAGCGAATGCATCGAATTCGCTGGTGTCAGCTCAAAGCCTTGCTCAATGCTCATACAGACAAAAGTAGTTACGACTGATTTTTCTATATACACATTTATATATTTTGAACATAGAGAAAGCGAAGAATAGAGTGATTAGAGTGGGAGATGGAACGTGGGTCCGTTTGCAAATATATCGTCACATCCGGACCAAATTTGTGTGTAGCCGAATCATATCATCGTAATCAATGCCAAATGCAAAGCAGAAGCACCACAAACATTGTTCACACAACCAAAATACACTACACACACATGTCCATATCAATTTCAATTTAGCCGCTTAGAGCATCAGTGCGTGCGGATATGTTTTATACGCATTCAGTTGGCTCAGAAAAACTTCAAATGATGGATGTTTTTGTGAGGTTTTTTTTGTTCGAATTTGTCTCGATTCTATTGTGCCTTTTCTCTCTCACGCGCTCTCACTCTCACTCTCAATCTCTGTGTTTTCTCGGTTTTTCTATTATGCAATTCATTCCCGGGGTATTATTAATTTTTTTTGTGCTTAGCTCTTGCTTCCTACTTGTCCATCAAATCTTCTCTTTCTCTTTCTCTCATTCGTGCTGTTTCGTTTTCGTTGGTGATCTTCAGATCATATTTTCATGTTGATTTCATTTTTCTTGATTCATATGGATGAGACGCATTGTTGTTAAATTAAACGAGGTCCTGATGATGGTGGTGCATGACACGAGAAACACGCTTGAAATATGTTTTCAAACCGAAAAAGCAAAAATAAAATGGAATAGAATAAAATGAAATGTGATATGATGGGACGTAAAAGGAATATAACAGAAAATCGTTGTTTTAAAAAGAACATGTCAAAAATTCAGCAAATGAAAGTAGTGCGTTTTTTTATTAATTTTTTTTTTTAAAATGGGACTGAAGCTATTGCTCTCTTAATCCAAATCAATTAAAGTGGGTTGATTCGCCCAAGCTTTCACCGTGCTCGCGTTACTTTCTTCCAACTAAAAATTTTCCTAGGGGGTAGACTTGTGGAATCAAAACTCACAGAAATCACAGAAATCACAAAAATCATTAAAATCACAGAAATCGCAGAATTCAATTTTTGTGATTTCTTTGATTTCTGTCAAATTGTACCGCACACACACTATGTGTGCGACTTCTACTATAGGCGCACACTACCACAGTGAAATTAGCTTTGTATATAAGTGTATTTTATGTCCAATATTGAGGTTTGGAATCGAGAAATCACCGAAATCGCAAGAGTCAAAGATTTCGTAGAAATCAAATAATTCACACTGGATTCATAGGTGTCTACCCCTTAGAAATTTTCATTGCTCTGGACACCTGAAACATTTCAATTATATCTAGAAGATTGAAGTACTGCTGTACAGCACTTCAAATTCTTCACATTCATTAAATGCGATCCAATAATCTAGCTGTGATTGGAGTTCTTAGAATTTCGACTCAATACATACAACATTATTCGAAATTATTATTATCATGACAAGTGCCAAATGGAAAATCATACAATAGAAATTTGCCAAAATGTATGATGACTAGAGATGTGTGTGAGTGTGTACCAGATTTATGTTATTCGCATTGAGTTTCTCTCTTGCTCTGTGTTTGTTTTGTGGAAAATATTTTGCGAATTTTACCGAAATCAATGATAAATACAAAACAAAAGCATAATATGTGGTGCTGTTATACATGCGAACGAAAGCAGCGTCCTGCCAAAACTGACGGATGCCTGGCGATATGATGAACATAAATATATGAGCGTATTAACGTGCCATAACGCAAAGAAATAACGCACACAGAGAGAGAAAGAGGAGAGATAGAGCCAAAATCAGTCGATTTTATGGATAGATTGAATGTTGGAGAACGACGCAGCATGCGAAATGCCAAGCGTTTTACGGCAAATGAAAATGAGTACATATTTAGAGCATGGTGTATTCTTTCACCACTTACCATTGACTGTGTATGCTAAGCGCGCAAAGGGATGGCCGATTCACACAAAAGACTATTTGTGCGAGTGATGCTGCGATAATGTTGAATTCTACTGGGTGCTTCACTTGCTACACTCAACATTTCTATCCCACTGCATACGGTATGCGGTGTATTTATTGTTGTTGCTACTGATTCTGCTGCTTCTGTTGTTGTTGGTCCGTTATTGTTTGCATCGCTACTGACGTATGCTTTAACCATACAGCATCAGCATCTCATTGCTCCGGCATACATTTCGGATGCTTGGATTCGGTTTTATTTGTGCGACACATAGAAGAGAACATTTCTTCGCTTTGCAATCCGTGCTATATCATCAGTCAGTTGATTTCTGTTGGTTGCCGATGATGGTAACGATTTAGCATAACTGCCGTAACTGCTGTGAATTATTGGCTACATTTTCAAAATAAAAAAAGAATCTCTTAAGCACACCGAACGCCACAACAACGATAAAAACCGTTAGTTTTTTGCACTTGCATCTGCAGCAAGTGTTTTGTGTTTTGATTGTGACAACGGTTCAACAATCTATCCAGAAAAGAAAATTGTTATGAGTTTTTTTTTATTATTTTGAACAAAAAAAAATATTGAAAAAGAAAGAAAAAGAGAAACATAATACGAATTTCAATGTGAATAATAATAGGAAAGTGCTTTACGAATTTTGCCCAAACAGTTCCGTATGATTTGTCATTGTTTGACGGTTCAAAACAAACAACCAACCAACATTGACGGGGCATAATTGTTTTGGACGCAAACAATAAATACCTCCGGTACTTTTATTTATTATTCAAGTGCGAGAAAAAACGGAATATATTTTTTTTCGTTGTGCAGTGTATATGTCACACAAAAGGAAAAACACTTGACAAAAAAAAAATCAGATTGAGTGGCATTAAACGATCGATTCGATCGTACACGGTGTTAACACTTTTTTGTGGTTTGATGTGTTTCAAATTGAATTGCATACAAAATATTTGCAACAGCAACCAATTTTGGCATTTTTAGCTGTGACTATTGTTTACTTCAAATTTATGATAACATTTCAGTTTTTCAACGCAATACACTGCGTCAAAACCGATAATTATTTTTTTTCGAAATTTAACTAGATCACCAAGCAAAGTCTTTGAACTTTCAAAAGTTGCATAGAAAAGGTTTTTGATTTTGCAACAAAAAAACACTGTAACGAAACAACTAATTGGTCATTGTCACATTGCATATACCTGAAAAACAGTACGATGCCTGGGGGCCAGCAAAGAAAAAAAATGTGTTGAGCTGTTGAACGTGTTTGAAAGTGTTGTGTGAAATTGCGTTTATCAACAAAAAAAAAATAGAACACAAAGAAGTAACGTGCAAAAAAAACTTGACAAGTTTATGGGCAAAAAGGTGCATTCAATAGAGTCGTTAAGCTGGATCACCCGTAATTTATATCGTGCAGTTCGATTACGAAAAAGGATAAATTCCTGAATGAACAATAAAAGTCAAATACATATATACGCATACCATATACCCATCAAAAGCATTCTCGAACACCGAATAAAACGAGAAAAGAGATAGTGTCAGAAACAAAGCGATTAAATAAAAACCCGTCAAATAGCGTGTGCCGATCGAAAAGCGACCGAAACTCAATGGGAAAACAGTTAATGTAATCTCTTGTGGAAAATAAAATTTAATGAACTGAATATTTTCAGTGGTGAGTGAAAATTTGATATTAAAAAAAAACACACACACACACACAAACGCATACAAAAGAAAGAATACAGAATCAGGCCCAAGAACAAACAAACAAACAAAAAAGTATACTTCAGCCCCAAAAGCTGCACACAAAACATTTCCGAACAATAACATTTCAAAACAAAAGCAGCAGTTAAAAAAAAGACAACACGAATACAACGACAACATAAAACCAACTACGAAACATAAACAGGCAAAAATGGATTTTGATTGAATTATTAAAGGTTTGTTAAATTTCACAACAGCAATAGAGCTGTGGCAACGGTGTAACGGGTAGCATGCGCCCAATTCAATAATAAACAAAACACATTTATACCGAACAGAGAGATCTCTTCTTGCATATAAATAAACAACAACAATATACAACATACACATACCGGAGGACCATTTTGACGTTGCTGTGAGTCTTTTACTTTATTTGTTCCTTTTTTATGTTAGTGTATCAACATTTGATCGTTATATTGTCGTATTTGGTTGGGATTACACTAAACGAAATTGAAAAAAAAAAATGAAGAAAAAAAGATGCCAAAAAACGCGTCCATATGAAATGGTTTTTCATCAACATTTTAAGTGTTGTGCCGTGAGTGCTGATACTGCTGCACCATACATGTATGTGCCGTGTTTTTTACATGCTCATTGATCTAAGTTCAATGAGCAAGAATGAAGCGAAATCATTCGAATTTTTGAATGTTTTGTCAAGAGTTTGAGTAAAGCACGTGTATCGTACGCTTCTTGCACAGTTGATTCGGTTGTTATTGAAAATTGAGTGTCAGAGGAAAAATAATAAAATAAGAATTATAATCGTAATCGCCAGCCATACCGACAGCTATTGCATTTGCTTTTGATAAATAAAGACCAAAGCGAGCAACACACATCCATGCCGTTATTATTAAATCGAATCGAGTGTATAGACACTTGATTGTGTGAAAGACTGAAATAAAGGGACGAAAATCATTTAAATGATCGGATAATACTAGTTTGAGAAATTGATGTTGTAAGCCCGAAGATATATGGTACGCACACTTGGCCATGAAGTGGCAAAGTCAATCACAACAACACTGTTTTCGAATAAACTTGATACGAGTTGCACGCACAAAGCAGCTTCAGTTACGTGCACCATCTTTCTTTCTCTTTCTCTCTCTCGCTCTCACTTATTATTGCGTACTTCTTCAAGGCAAATTTAAGATAGAGACAAACAAGTATCGAGTATAAAGGTGTAATCACGTCGCAATAAACACTCGCAATTTACCCCGTCCCATTGACACCAACATATATACAGAGTGGCACAGAGAAGACAGAAGTTTAGCCGTACTGCAGCCACACGTATTTTATTTGTCTAAGTCAAATCTTAAATCGAAGTTAGTCTCTATCTCGCACACGCACACACATACAATATATTTTCTTCTCGTTTTTTTTCTCTTCTGTTAAACAAACACTTAATTTAATTTTATCGGAAAGCATTGAGTGACTATAATACATGAAAATGTAACAAATGTTTTCTCGCGTATACACCGATACGAAATCGAAATTCATGTGAAATGCAGAGGTTCTCTGCCAGTAGAATTGGGAAAGGCTCACAATTGCCATTTCAATTGCAATTGATATCGTCACGGCCACCACTTGACATCATCACACTTATTGTCAATTGCTTCAGATATCGGTATTGTACACACGACGGCCTTTTGAATTTCACCGTTTCGAACCATTGCACGTACTGGAACTGAGAGCACATACACACAGACGCACACAAAATTGGAAAAGTTCGATGCAAAAAAAAAAAATTGGGGAAAAAAACCGAATTTATGGTATAAAATATCGAAATGTACGGTCGGTATAAGAGGTCACACACATTCGGAAATGAAACCAATGTGATTTGAGCGTTTCACACTTCTTTTCTCGCGAATCGTATTCTATCGTGCACCTTTAACAATATCTCCATAAAATTGACTTGTGCTATATGTTTTTTTTTCTGTGCCGCATGATCCGTGTTATTTTCACCAACTTAAGTCGCTCTCTCATTCTTTCTGCTCACATTCTCTTTCCGACACTTCTCTTTTTTTGCTTCCTTTGTATTCTCGTTTTGATCATCTGTTACTTATGTGTTTTTTTTTTATCTTATGAGCTCATGCTCTATTCATTGGCGTTGCTTTCAATCGGCAAGCGTGACATATTCATTCGTTTCAAAATTCGTTTGCACTCTCGTCGACAACGGAAAAACGGAATCTGGATGTGGCGTTTTTAACAAATCAAAGCGACAGCCAGTCTGTGCGTATATGCAAATGTATGTCATCAAAATCATCGCATCGTATATAGCATTGAAAAACATGGAGAAGAGATGAGAAGCACAAACCATCAATCGTTATGCTGCAAACACATTGGAAAATGTGAAGAAAAAAATCAAAAGAGACTAAGCAAAAGAGATTGAAAAAGAAAGAGAGAGAAAACGAGGCGAAGATGAAGATAAAGAAAAATGTGTGCCGCAGGCACAAAACAAAATAAATATGTAGATAAATTTTTTGATTTGTTGACAAATTGGTTTATAAGTATTTGCTTTTATCATGCCACATTTGTTTCGCGAACGAACATTTATACTGCACTCATTTGTACGTTCAGCAAACGAATAAATAAAAGGAACGTACGAAATGAATGAACCAACGACTGACTGGCTGACTGAGCGACACAACATAATCGACCGTGGGCACATGCTGACGAAAAACAGTGTACGAATTTTACATTAAACATTATACATGCCATTATTGTTGTCATTACATACATTTAAGTAATACAAGAGCATAAGCAAATACACACACATGCGCGCGCGCCTTTTCGCTCCCAAAAAGCACTTACGCGAGATTTAAGCGTTTGTTCGAAAATTCTCAAGACACGAAATTATTCTGTAATTTATTTGTGAAACAAGACATTCTCCCGATGCGAGTGCAAAACAGTAAGCAAAATAAGAGGAACCATCAGAAACAACAATAACAACAACAACACCGCGACGACGACAAAAATAGAAGATAAACAAGACGAATTTCGACGCACAGAAACATTTTCGCCGGTTTTATGTAACGCTTAGAAAAATTGGTGTTCATTGTAGCTTAAAAGGTCCTCAGTGCGTTTTTTTTTTTCTCTGCTGGCAGAATGTCATTTTTATTGTTGTTAATATGCTCACCTTTTTTTCTGCCATTCAAAAAGTTTGCATTTGTCATATAAAATGGTGTTTTTCCCTCACTTCATATCTCTAGCTTTTTCATTTGTATTATTTTGATTCTGCATAAATCAGAAGAACAAATTCAATAAGAAAAAAAAGGAATTGCCCGAGAGCATGTGGATGAATGACCATAGATGAAAATAGAACTTGGTGAGCTAATTAGATCTTTCCATCTTCATAAATTTTATTCAATTTTTGCCATGGGTTTGCTCGTTAGAGTCATGTTTTGAACTAGCATGCGCTCATACGCACATCAATCACCCGCTTAAAGCTATATACGGTTAAATACGCGCAAATGCAAAGCGAACGCTTTCAAAATCCGGTCACACAATGACGGCATTATGACCATTGGTGCAGTAAAAAAAGGTGTACTAATGAAGCTAGAAGTTTTTTATGGAACGCAATTAGACAGTGCTTATTTTTGTGTTCGTTTCGTTTTTCCCATCTCTTTCTCTCTATTCAAATAAAGCTGCCATTCGAACATTTACAACAAATCATAAAATTTGAAAATGTTTCCATCCGCGTCTCAATTTCGCAATGCACTCTTAATTCAATGAACTCTCCTCGCCGTTCAACAACATTCTCCTAAATATATTCAACATGAAACTGATTGAGCAGTTGACTTTTTTTTTCGACTTCAATTAAACTTATGCCATTCACATCAATGTTTTGTCGTATAATAAATTCAACAATTGCATTGAATTGAATGAAATATAAAATAAAAACTCAATTCCGAAAACAAGTCATGTTCAAAACAAAGTTCGACAAATTTTAACGATTTCAACCCAATAAATATTTTATGAACTAAAGCGAATAAATAACAACAAATCAAAGTGATAAGATGCAAAATTGCTGCCCCATAGATAAACATTTTCGCTTTTTCTTGTTCACTTTTTTCGCTTTGCGATAGTTGTAAAGTTGAGTTGAAAAATTGAAAATTCACATTTGTTTTTATAATCGTTTTTCTCGTCATAGAATTAGTTTCTTGTGGAACATCTTCGTTTCGCAAAAGCTGAATATAAATAACAACAACAGCAAATGGATCCGTACGACTTTAACTGTATTCAACTATGTGAGACAAATGGTATCATAATTTTACTCCCATTTGCTTCTGCCTCTCTTGCTTTTGCATCGGGCGTCTGTCGTTCATTTTCCATTTTATTAACCAATTCGGATAGACTTTAGTCGATGCATGTATCATTCATAGTAAAATGGGTGAAGCGTTCAACGCGCTAGTTCAAATGTAGTCTTTTAAATTTTGCAAACGATATGCGAACGGGATTTTATTGCAGTTGTTTGCCCCTTCATGTCACTGCATGATACCCAGAAGAAGTAAAAAGTAAAGTTCGATTCGTTCAAAGTTTGCTCGATTTCGTTTTGGATCTTATTTTTTTTTTCACTCATTCTCCATGCATATAGTTACATACACATACATAGAGAGACACAATTACTGACTCTATGTCACTGTGTTTTTTCGCCATTTATGCTATGGGCGAAATTCGATAGATAAAAAGCGACAGAGAGAGAGAGAGAGAGAGAGAGAGATAGAATGCTGAAAAAATGGGATTGCAATAAAAGAAAGAAGTCAACGTTTAATAAACTCGATCTCAACAACAATGTCCGCCGTAAATGGGCGGAAAAAATGTACCTTAACTTAAACAATAAATTTAAATCACTTCGATTTATTCTAAGGTAAGATTCACCTGAATACACTTCTCAACTCTATGGAATGTACGGTTGTTGGCTGTTCTGCTGTTAGCTAACTGGCTTATGTCATACCAACTGTTCTACGTTGCACGCACACAGTTTTCAGAATGCCAGAGCAATACAGCAGAAGTAAAAGCCATTGAATCGTTAAACAGCATGCAAATGTATAAACGATGAAATGAGAACGAAGAACGAAGAGAAAAAAAAGCTCATTCAAATTTTACAGTTTGCGATGACATACGCATGAATATTTTTGTTCGCCGAAATACTTTTATTCATTCGCTTTTTTTCTTCCTTTCCATTGTGCATCGTTTATTCTCCTTTTTGCTTCGTTTCTAGTTGATTTTTCCTTTCATGTTGCAAAAAGCTACGCGTCTTTTTTTTTCGCTCACCCACCATAATATATTTGTACATTTTGACGAAAGTTTTGGGTGAACCTTTTTTCGTAACTCAATGAACATGCCATAGTTGTGCTTCGTTTT